GGTAGGAAAGGACCAGATGTGTTCTCTTTGTAGAATAAAATGGATTCATCCCCAGTGAAGTCTGAAGATACAAATGGCATTTATTGTGCAGGACACACCATTTTTATGGAGTGACCTCATGCTTATTTAAACCTCTGCTTTTACTCTCAAGACTTCAGCTTCAGCTGTTCCTCCCAGGAGCTACCAGCACAGATCCTGGACATACCTGGGCCAGATGATCAAAGCAGAGAAACAGGACTGCAGGAACTACCAGTGTTTCAAAGGAAGGTGTCACCTGCACCCACACTGAGGAGAAGAGCAGCAAAGTGAAGCCTCTTGTAGTGCACAAGCTGTTTTCTGCATTGGTAGCACTACCCCTTGTGCTATGAGGGCTTTCCACTGACATACTCCTACTCTGAAGAACTTCTGTGTCCAACATAAAACCCAACCCACAGACCAGAAATGTCAAAGTTACTCCACTATTCCCAAGAAGAGGAGGGAACACTGATCCTTCCTGAGACTTCTTTTGTCCCTGCTCATACTTTTCAGTACTTTCTCTCCCTGCTCCCACACTTGGAGCCTCTGTGGCTCAGGACATGGAGATGTTTCAGGGGACTGATGCCCATGATGAAGGGAGGGACCCTCCTGCATCAGGGAGATGCTACCAACCTAGCTGCACACTTTTATTTTTCCTCCTCTAAGTTCTGACACCTTCTCAGGCTGTTTTTGTTTGCTGAGGCTGCCTCTGTCAGTAACTTCCCTGTCTAACCCACCTGCAGAACAGAAAACATGCAGCTGGTAAATGCAGACACAGCTCAAAACTGGCCAAAAGGGGCATTAACCCATGAAGAGCTGGATCCTGAAACAGTGCCAGTTGTTCAGACAGAAGCTATCCTCAGGTCACACCCAGAACACTCTCACATTCAAAAAAACTACCTCCCCACAGACAGCCTGAGGTACCAGCAGAAAAGGCCCCGGGTGGACCTCTGGAATCCCTCACAGCTCCAGCTGAACTTCCAGCACTGCTTTTAACAAGAGGAGTGGAAGCCAAGGCAAACACACAGCTCAGTGTCCTCTCCTGATCCCCAGAGCTGCTGTTACAGGCTCACAGCTGAGCTGCAGCCACACCAGGGCAGAGAGGGGCCCCCAGGCCAGAGAGGGGCCCCCAGGGCAGAGAGGGGCCCCCAGCACGGCCACCATCGCTTCTGTTGCTGCGTTTGTGAGGTGCCAGAGTCACGGCTGAGCAGGGAACCACACGGGTTTGTGGGATGACTGGTGCCTCTTCCTTCCACCTCTAAAAGCAAGAACAGGCTCAGGGACTTGCTCTGTCCTCCTGTTCACGAGCTGAAATCAGCAGGAGCAATCAGCTGAGTTGGGCATAGCATCTACCTGTTCAGAGATCTTTTCTAACTGAAGCAGAGTTACTCAGATGCCTGTATCAAAAGTAAGTCAGGTAATTATCAGACAGGAGTTTAAGCACATTAAGAACCTTTGGTATAACATCAACCAGGCTACAAACAAATCTGTTCTAAAGCTAACCAAATACACACACCCCCCCCCAGAACTCCCACGTTTCTCTGCTCCTGAGCAGTGCCCCTGAGGCAAGCACAGGCAGAGAGCAGCCCCACTGCCCAGGGCCTGCCTGGGACCTGTCTGCATGGCCCTGAGCCAACCTCAGCTCTGCACATGGCTCCCTGGGCACCCCCTGACTTCCAAGAGCAACCAGCTACAGTAACAGCTCTGTACCCACCCTAACCTCAGGAAGACCCAAGAGATGCATGAAAGACTCTCCTTCCTACTTGGGCAGATCCCAAAGCTGGTCCAGACAGTCCCAGACACTTACAGCTTTCTCTGTTGTTCTTGAGAAACCACTTGCACCAGGCTGCCAAGGCCTCCAGAGCACCCAGCCACAACAGCCCCAGTGCTGCCAGCACTCAGGAACCCCTGCTCATCCCCAAAGACATTTTCTCTCCTGCTTTAAAACATCAGTCTTCACTGCAACAACTACAAGGCACTAAGAGAGGGGAAAAAATGCTTTACTTGCAATAATGATTGTATGCAAAGTATCTTCTGCCTTGCTTGACAAGCATCAGGGCAATGAGAGATTCAGTGAAATGATTCCCTGTGGAAAGGGGTAGTAAAAGACTGGGATTCTTCAGCAAGGAAAACAGATGCCAAAGAGAGAAATACAACAGAATAAAGCCACGATTTCCAAAGGCAGTGTGAAAAATCATCCTCTGCTCACTTCCTCCCTAAACCAAAAGCTAGGGCATCAAATCAAAACAAGCTCAAAAACCTCTGCTGGCAATTTCACAGAATAAAAACAGCTTTTTCCTGCACAGGGCATGTCACATTAGGGGACCTGTACTGGAGGGTGGCATGGCAACAGAAGGAACCAAGTGCTACAAGAAGCCAGAATGTCTTTTCTTTTGGAACTCTGTTTTACCCTGTATTTTCTTTTGTTTTTTTTTTCCCCCCATGTGTTAAAAATTATTGTTCACGAAATGATGTTTGTCTCAGGGTAAATTCAATTAGCACAAAACAAGACTGCAATTAAAACAGCTTGCAGCCACCCCAGGACCCACACAGAGATGGGAAGGGAATAATTTCCTGTCCTATTCATAGCAGAAAATAATTCCTTCTGTGACTGATAAAGGTAGTTCCATATTCATTTCCAATAAATCCCATGCCTCCCACACACTGCTCTGCTATTTCCTTTTTCCAGCTGCCCCTTCTGCAGCTGCTCCCTACAGCTAAAAGGGTGAGGTGGCTGTGCAGAGACCCCCCCAGTCTGGGACAGAGCTCTGCTGGGACAAGAACTGTGCACTCCTTCCCCAGGGCTGCTGTGGGAAGAGGTGGGCACAGGTTGGCACAAGTTCTAACAGGCACTGAGAGGCACCTCAGCCCAAAAGGCTCAAGACCTTCTACTGGAGACACTTGGCTAAACATCAGATCACAGCCATGGCCTCTGCTGAGTGACCAGTAGCTTGCCCTGAAGTAGGACCTTGCTTTGTGACACACCAAACCATCAAGTGTCAAAGTGACTTACAAACTTGAAGACTCCACCTGGCAACCAAAAACCCATTCCTTTGAGATGTTAAGCCAGCAAAGCCAAACACCCCAAGATTAGTCACAACTGCCTGTCCCAGTATTATTCCTTTGTATCAAAGCTTTTACTGTGAACAGCAATTCTTTACTAGAAGCTGAAATACAGTCTTCTCAAGGCCATAAGGGCATTTACCTTGATGCCATAGTCAAAACACATCCTCCAAACTAATGTCCTGATCTCAGGAAGAGTGCAGATCTTGTCTGGTAAAATAAAAAAAAGTCAGCATCCCATTTTCCCAATAATTCCCACTTAAAGCATTTCTCTTCCCTTCCACTTTACAGTCAGCCCTTCACAGTAGCTGCTCACCAAGGAATTCACCACAGCACCAGAAAAGCACATTCCTGTATCCCCACAAATATCTGTGCCACTCTACAGACTCTTTTGGTACATTTTCAGAGCAATCCTGCAGAGGAATTGCAGCCAAGGTCTGTTCATTCAGGCTGCTGAGGGGCACGAGGTACCTCCCCCTTGCCCACCCCCCTTACTGAAATCCTAACCTGCTGCAGCATTTACACAAACCCAGCACACCTCTCCTGGCTGAACTGCAAAGCATTTCATCCTTTAGCCTGAAAAAAACAATGTAAATCTCTTTGTGAAAGAACAAAAGAGAGGCACATGCTGCTGCCTGAGCCGATTCCAAAGCAGGAGTGCTCTGAGTGCCCAGCAGCAGCCACGGGCAGGGCACAGTGGTGCCAGGCCAGAAGACACTCTCCAGACAGCTCTGAGAGGCTGCCCGAGCCGAGGGACTTTTCTGCTTACTCCACAATGAGGAC